GTGGTGAAGTGAGGGAGGCCTCTGAGGGTCCAAAATGCTGGGAAGGAGATATCCCCACCTGAGGGTGTTATTACATTGGAGACCCCCTGCTCAAGTCTGCTTGGGAAGGACAGGGGACTGGAGAGCTGGGCATCCTGGGAACTGCTGTGGATCTGTGGGTTCTGAGCCTGTGTCCTGGGCCCAAAGGCTAGTGGGCCCTGGGCAGGCTACCACTCCACCTGACCACAGAGGATCCCAGCTTTCAGGGCAGTTCCTCACTTGGCTCACTCAGGCCCTGGGCTCACTCGGGCCCTGGGCTCCTGTCGGGCTTTGTCAGAGGACCTGGTGTCCATCTCATCTCTGCTTCAGCCAGGCACTGGGCATCAGCCCCTCCCCTCCCCTCCTTCTCACAATCTTTCTGTGTTTGGAAGCATGGGTTCCAGGACTTTCAGAGTTGGACAGACCAAGGTTCCAGCTCCAGCTCTGCCACTTACTAGCCATGGGACCACAGCCAGGTCCCTTCACCTATATCAGATAGAACCACATGAATTTGTCATCTTCACAAAAATGGTCATATACTGGCAATTTCATGTGAGTCAGCCTTATAGTACCTTCCTCACAGGGCTGTGGGTGTGGATTAATGTGCAGTGGGATGGCAAGTGGAAGCAGATGTCCCTTCTACACTGTTTCCCAGAAAGTGAGTGCTCTTTAAGGTGAGATGAGCCCCCTCCCTCCTTGGGCTCTCTCCTCCAAGACTGGCTCTGATAACCTCTCTCCTGCCAGCTCTTCCAGTTCCCCTCCCTGCCTCTTGCGATAACAGGCTCAACTCTCTCCCCTGCTCTCAGACTGCCTGGTCATCTTGGGTGCTGTCTGCCAAACCCAGAGCAGAGTGATCTCTGCATGCACGTTGCCATTGCCTTCTCCCTGTTGCCTCTGCATTCCTTAGTGTCCTGGGACATCATCTTCTGATAAGACAGTGTGGGTGAGGGGCAGCATCCCCCAGGGTAATCACCAGCTGTGAATGAGGTTGGTACTTGGCTCTGAGATGGGATGGAGAGAATGTGGCCCTTTCTGGCCTTGGAAAGAGAGGGGTATGTGCCTCTGGGCTGGTGCTCTTTTGAGGCCAAGCACCTGATGAAGGATTGAAGTGACTGATGGATCCCAACCCCGTGCCCTCCTTAGGGTTTTCTCCATAGCCTTTGGGGTCAGAGCTGCAGTTAGGTGGACTCAGAGACCTGGGCATGTGCCTGTGTGATCGCTGTAGCCAGCTCCTCATGGTAGGGGCCAAGGTCCCTCAGGGTGGGGTTTCTGGGATGAGTGGGAAGGAGCTAAGATTTAATGAGCACTGAGATTTAATGTGACAGGTTGGCTTGTTGCAAAGTGGGCCACTCTGCCTCTGGTGGTAAATAAAGCTCCTGAACAGGGCCTGGTCCATCAAGTTGCATAATTTTCCCAAAGAGCCAGATAGAGACTGAACTTGAAAGAGTGCCAGAGAACAGGAGCTCCGAGGTCCTATCTTTCAGACTCCCCTCAGTCCCTACTTCATCCCCTGACCTGGAAGAGAGTCAGACCACCCTGAAAGACAGGTATTAACCACAATCCCTCCATCCTTGTACAGTTGAGGGAACTGAGGTTCAGAAAGTTTCATTTACTCGCCCCAAACTACCCTGCTAATAGGTGGCAGAGCTGGGATCTGAACCCAGGACAGGCACACCTATGGTGGCTCTATCTGTGTGACAAGGTGTCCTGTTCTTAACTCCAAAGGCCCTCAGAAGACCCAAGAGCCAGGCCTATAGTCTGCTCTTGGGTGAAAAGCCCCCCTACCCACAACTACTTCCTGCAACCACAGTCTCACTCTGACATTACTGACCCTGGACTCTAGTCCCAAGTGGTGGAGACATGGCTGGGTCATGGCAATTTCTCATAAGGCTCTGGTAGCATCTGTGTCCTGTCTCCTTCCTTACCTGGTTTTCTTTAGGAGGTCCCTATCCCGAGGCTCCCTCCTTCTGGCGCATTCTACAAAAGAAATCCTGCTGGCCTAGGACTCAGGGATTTGAATTATTGCTGCCTTGTCCCTGTACTTTGTGGCTGAGGATCCTTGGTCCTTATGCAGTGAGGGGCTCTTGGGGGCAAGGTCTTTTGGAGTCCCCTCTTGGTTGGCCCCTCCAGCCTCTGTAGCTCTTGGAAAGACATAAGGGCCAGCTGGCAGTTCCACTCCTTTTCTGCCCCCAAGCAATCTCCTTCCTGCTCTTCCAGCCTAGTGCTTCCCCCTGCCCTGTTTCTTTTTCTTTTTTTCTTTTTTGAGTTGGAGTCTCACTCTGTCACCCAGACTGGAGTGCAGTGGCATGCTCCAGGCCACCGCAGCCTTGACCTGCTGGGCTCTGGCAATCCTTCTGCCTCAGCCTTCCAAGTAGCCAGAACTACAGGCACGCACTACCACACCTGGCTAATTTTTGATTTATTGTAGAGACGAGGTCTCACCATGTTGCCCAGGTGGGTCTCAAACCCGCGGGCTCAGGCAATCCACTCACCTCGGCCTCCCAAAGTGCTGGGATTAGAGACTGAGCCACTGAGCCTGGCCTCTGCCCTGTTTCTAGAAGCTGCTGAAAGGTCTGATTTGGGCCCAAGCCCCACTATAGTGTAGTCAGCAGTGTTGGTTTGAGGTATTCTGGCCACTTGTGACCATCCCTTGTGTTAGTCAGCTCTCTGTCAGTTTTGCAAGAAGGTAAACCCCTGGCACCACCTTCTTCAGTGCTCTGCCTCCTCCTGTCTTGACTTTGTCCCCAGATCCATTTTCTACATCTAGGTGATCTATCTGGAATGAACTTGGGCTTGCCAGTTTGGACCACCTCTCCAACCTCATCATTTGCCACTTCTTCCCACCCAGCCTGGCTCCAGTCATTCTGAGCTACTTGCTTTTCCTGGGAGGCTCTACTCTTTCCTGCTTCTGTGCCATCACACATGCTGTTCTTGGCACCTTGAATTCCCTTCTCTCTTGTTTGTTTGGGTGGTTGATTTGTCTTCAGCCTTTGAGCCCTAGATCAATGTCATCTCTCATCTCTCTACTCCCTGCTGCTTCTCTGATCTCCCAGCTCACTTGCATCCTATTTATATTGGTTTTGCCAGTGGCAATGTGACCTTGAGGTCCATCTGTATTTGTGGTAGTCAGTTCCTCTGGTTTGGGAGGGCCACAACTGTGTAAGTCATCTTTCTAGCTATTGTCTCTAACCTAACACACTTATTGAGTAGATGAAGCAGTGAATTTTTTTCTGGAACACTTCCTGCCCAGTCAGTCTGCTTTGATTGTACTGCAATTTGTTGGCTTGGGATTAATGGCATTGTCCTTGCACTGCTGACCTCACCCAGGCTGATGGTCAACCAGAACCTTGGTTTTCTGGCCCATTTGCTACTTCTGAGCCCAGTGCATCTGCCACAGTTTCATGCAGCTGTGGCTGATTTTTGTCTCATACTGGACCTTGTGTTTGGCCCTGGTATATTTCTTTTGTCGTGTTCAGCTCCAGATGGCCTTATTTACCAGAAGACTGTGGTGGCAGGAGAACCCTCCTGACTCTGAGATCTGGTAGTCTAAATAATCAGACCGTAAACTGTTAGGCAGATTCACAACTTGATCTTGTAAATAGCCAAATAAGACATCTTTATAAGTCAGATCAAATGCATAATGTGTGACATTTATGACAGCTGACAAATGGATTTTATTGACCTCTGGTTAACTTTGGCCTTACTCTATGAAAACTGCCTTTAACTTAGCACTTGATCATGAAGAAAATATGTATGTTCAAAAGGACATGTAGCCATTATATGACACTTAAAGAATATCTCATATAGGGTTTTCTGCTATACATAGTGTTTCCCAAAATGATATCCAAATGCTATGTGCATCAGAATCACAGAGGCCACACATTGAAATACAGATTCCTGGACTCACCTAATTACAATTCTTGATGGAGTCTTGGAATCTGCACTTTCAACATGCTTCTGGAATGTTTACTGAAGGTTGAGAACTACAATATTTTGGGATTCCTAGAGACTAGAGAACCCATGAGGTGAGTCATAATGATATGTATAGTGACATGGTGGCTTCCTGTGCAAAGCATTCATCATTGGCGTTATCACCTGGAGGCTCTGGCATCCAAATTTTAATTCAGTCTTGGCAGGGGGTACTGGGGAAAGGGTCCACCTGTGCCAGGGGAGGGAGATGTGAGACAGTCTGGTATGTTTGACAGCTGCAAACTGCATCAGGCAACTTGAGCATGGGCACGGAGAGGGCCCCAGGGAGTGGTGAGTACCTGTGACCCTGGCTGTGTGTGTGTGCACATCGTGGGCAGGAGAAGGAAGCCTGTGTGCTGAGCCAGTCTTTGCATATCAGGCAGTCTTCAATTTTGCCATGTGTCACCTGAGAAACAAGGCTGGTGGGGCAGGTAGGGGCTTAGAGCAGGAGTGTATACTGAGTGTTAAGTCCCAAGATTTAGGGACATGGGGTGCCATGAAGGACATAAGCAGCATTCATTGATGCCTCCATTTGGATAAAACCTGACAAGGGACTTTCTACCCATGCTCCCTGAAGCGTTCTGTCCTTCACTCTGCATACAACACTCTTTATCATCAAGAAAGTCTTGAATCCTGAGGTCAGAGGAATTTGTGGAATGAGTTCTGGTGTCAGAAAGATCTGAGTTCTTATCTGGGTCCTGTTACTTATTACTCGTAGGACTGTGGACAAGTTGCTTTCCATCTCTGAGTCTCAGATTACTCTATCTATGCAATGGATTGATAATACCTACCTCTCAGAATAAACTAGTTAATAGATATAAAGTACTGAACACCATCCTTGGCATGCAATAAGTGCTTCTCATAGTTATTGGATGCCAATGCCTTACCATGTGCCTTAGTTGATAGCTCCTTTAGGTCCCAGAACCTTTCTCTTTTGGTCCCTGTTTCTCCCCAGATTCTCCCCTGGAGGCACAATCCCTGAGTGCTGTTTGTCTGTTTGCCTTGCAGGCATCATTCCTAAAGTGGGTTTCTTAGTTCAAGAGCCTCTGGAATCTTCTCGTATCCACTATGAACACCTCTCACCTCCTGGGCTTGCTGCTCCTGGGATCTCTACAGGGTGAAAATAGGAGCAACCCAAATGTCATCCTATACAACTTCTCTGACCACTGCCAGGATTCTGTGGATCTGTTTGTCTTCATCATCACTTCCTATAGCATCGAGACCATCGTAGGGGTTCTGGGTAACCTCTGCCTGATGTGTGTGACTGTGCGGCAGAAGGAGAAGACCAACGTGACCAACCTGCTCATTGCCAACTTGGCTTTCTCCGACTTCCTCATGTGCCTCATCTGCCAGCCACTCACAGTCATCTATACCATCATGGACTATTGGATCTTTGGGGAGGCTCTCTGCAAGATATTAGTCTTCATCCAGTGCATGTCAGTGACAGTTTCCATCCTCTCCCTTGTCCTCGTGGCCCTGGAGAGGCATCAGCTCATCATCAATCCAACAGGCTGGAAGCCCAGCATCTCCCAGGCCTACCTGGGGATCGTGCTCATCTGGCTCATTGCCTGCTTCCTCTCCCTGCCCTTCCTGGCCAACAGCGTCCTGAAGAATGTCTTCCACAACAACCATTCCAAGGCTCTGGAGTTTCTGGCAGATAAGATGGTCTGTACTGAGTCCTGGCCCCTGGACCACCACCGCACCATCTACACCACCTTCCTGCTGCTCTTCCAGTACTGCATCCCTTTGGTCTTCATCCTGGTCTGCTACGTGCGCATCTACTGGCGCTTGCGGAGGCAGGAGCGCGTGTTCTGCAAGAGCGCCTACAGCTCGCGAGCTGGGCAAATGAAGAGGATCAATGGGGTGCTTGTGGCCATGGTGGTGGCCTTTGCCATGCTGTGGCTTCCTCTGCACGTGTTCAACAGCCTGGAAGACTGGCACCCCGAGGCTATCCCCATTTGCCACGGCAACCTCATCTTCTTGGTGTGCCACCTGCTCGCCATGGCTTCCACATGTGTCAACCCTTTCATCTACGGCTTTCTCAATACCAACTTCAAGAAGGAGATCAAGGCTCTGGTGCTGACTTGCCAGCACAGCACCCCTCTGGAGGAGTCTGAGCATCTGCCCCTATCCACAGTGCACACAGAAGTCTTGAAAGGGCCCCTGAAGTTAAGTGGCAGGTCCAACCTCAAATAGGCAGGTCTAGGGCTTCTCCCTGCCATGTTCCTTGCCAGCCTCTTTCACTTGCTTAGTGGGCACACTGCAAGATGGGAGTGGTGCCCCATCATTACTGGTTTTGTGGGGCCCAGATGGGCTGGCAAGAGCCTGTTTATGCATCCATTTGCATTGTGAAGACTGGCATTCAGATGGTTCAGCTATTTTTTTCTTGGGAGAATTCTGAGTCCAGATTCTGCAGGTCCCAGTGAGTTTTGCAACTTGAACTGCGGGATGCCAGAGCTGGAGATGTCTGCTGATGACAGGCAGGGTTCATTCTGGTAACTCAGCAACAGATGCCTGGCCTGAGAACCCAGAGATTTTGCCTCTACCAGTAAGACCACGAGGGCACTGTGTGGTGAGGGAAAAAGCAGTCGAAGTCAGAGCTCTGGACTTTGGCCAGCCCCTTACTTCTGTGGGAGATGATGTGTGTGTATGTGCTTTGTAAGAGGTAAAGAATTCTGTGGATGCGAAGTAGTGGGAATGCTATTACAGCATGAGAACATCTGACTGAAGAGAAGGGATCTGGGTAGTCTTGGGGCCTCATGTCCCTCTGTGGCAGGAATTCTAGAATTCATATACTACTCTATCTTTTTCTTTTTCTGCCACCTTATATGGAAATAAGTCTGCAAATCTCTCTCCTCAATGAGACTGTAAATGACTTGAGGTTGACATCCATATTGTCAGAGAGCTTGTGTCCTCTATGCCTAGGACAGGCCATGGCACAGGGAGAGCAGTCCAGGGAAGTTTACAATGGTGTCTTGTTGGGAAAGGTGCCACTCACTGCTCAGTGTTTGGTACAGGACAGGTGTCCAGTGTGGGAAGGTCCCAGGGCTCAGGCTTCTGTACCTATAGTCTCTCGCCTGCCCTTCCTTGCCTCCCAGGACTGCTCTTGACAAGGCAGTGCACAGAAACTCTGTGATCCTCCCCTGTTAACCCACAGCAGAGGTCTCTAGAACTCAAGACCATGGCTACAGCGTCCTTCATTCCATACTCTGATCCCTGAGCTGACTTGCCCAAGTGATATGCTATGATTCTCCCAAAGTTTCCCCAGGGCATTGGGCATCACTGTGGCCTTCAGTAGGAGCAGCGGCATGGAGTCCTGGAGTTTGACTTAATAGGTCACTAACTGAAAGGAAGAGTTTCTCTTTCTCCAGCTGGCCATGGGAGACAGAGAAAAGCTCCAATGAGTATAACTATTTCATCTTGGAGGTCATGGTCCAGTTCCCTGGGTACTGAACCAGATCCAAGGCTTCATCTGTGTGTGGACCAGATAGCCTCTCCTTGCAGGGAAGGAAATTTTAAGATTACTCCAGGACCACCTTGGATGGAGTGTCTCAGCCTGTCTGTACCTGCTCAGACCCACCCTCCAGCAGAGTGGACAGAAGGTGGCCTCACCATGGTGTCCTAGGCACGGTATTCAAGTGCCAGAGTCCTTGAGGGGCCCTACTATGAGGCAGCATTGGTTCTACGCAGGGCATCTAGCAGAGGGTCAGGCAGCAGGAGACTGAACAGCCACATCTAACTGTGTCTCTGGCCCTCGCCTCCGACCAAGAACTTGTACAGCCAATATCCAAGGAATGCTTGAGTCACCAGCTCCCTCCTGGAACTTTTTGTCCCTTCCTTTGGTTACATCTCTCATTCAGTTCCTTTGTTCACTTTTATGCTGGATTTTTGGGAAGGTTTCTTGAGCCACTCTCTTAGACACAGCGTGTGCTTGTCCTCCAGTGCCATCTGCTGCTGGCTGCTTCTGGTGATGACCTGCCAACAAAGCCCAGACTCTGGGACCGATTCCAGAATGATGTCACTGTACAAGCTTCCTCAGGAGTTGGGGACCCCGGGCACCTCTAGATCCTGTGCAAGTGCCTGAGTTTGCTTCTCATGATCAATTTCAACGGTGCCAAAATGCTTGGGGACAAGAATGATTTAGGGTGTATGCTTGAGGACAGGGGAACCAGGTTGGGCATTTGGTGAAGGTGCTCAGGAGTTGGGGTAGTAGGAGGAAGCCCCACTGAATGTCTTCTGTGCCCCATCATCACCTGGAGCTTGCTAGATATGTAGAGTCCTTGTTGCTCCATTAGACCTATTGAATCAGAATCCACGTTTGATCAGGATCTCCAAGTTAACTGTACATACATTAAAGTTTCAGAAGCTCTGCTCTAAGAAACAGATTGACCTGGAGCCCAGAGTCACTGGATAAGCAATAGTAGACACGTGCTCTGGGATCGAGAGTAGAGCTTTAGAAATCCTAGTTCTGGAGACATGTCCTTAAAATAGTTACTGCTGAAAAGGTACATTCAGTTTGGGTTGTTTGTCTCATCTCTGGCTGCATGTGGTCATATTTCTTGTGAAACCTTTTCATTCCTTCAATAAATATTTGCCAAATGCGTAGTTTGCATAGTTATGTTCTTAGTGAACATGCCCTTTTATATTCTGTGCTATTTCACTTAAAACTATCATCAACCACTTTTCATCTTGCTGGGTATCATCTTTGACAACTGCTTAAGAGTTTAGAAACTGGTCCAGAGCCTTTTAGTATTTCTCTTTAGCTCCCGGGGGCCCATCTCACCTAAGAAATGGACCCTCTGCCAACTGTGGTGGGAGGAACCCATCATATAGAGGAGCCCTGTGACTGAAATTGGAGACCCCCATCGCACAGACTGACTTGGAACCTACAGAGAGTACAAAAACCTTATCAAATCCTGATAGTGAGAGCTAAAATTCTACCTAACTCTAGCCCTTCCATTTATTTATTTATCTATTTGTCTTTTGAATTGGGATCTCACTCTGTCGCCCAGGCTGGAGTGCCGTGGCATGATCACAACTCATCACAGCCTCGACCTCCTGGGCTCAGGCAATCCTTCTGCCTCAGCCTCCCAAGGTAGCTGGAACTACAGGCACATGCCACCACACCCAGCTAAGGTTTTATTTTTTTGTAGAGACTGTGTTGCCTCGGATGGTCACAAACTCCTGGGCTCAAGAGATCCTCCCACCTCAACCTCCCAAAGTACTGGGATATAGGCATGAGCCACTGTGCCTGGCCTTAGACTTTCATTTTAAAAGAATTGATGGTGACTTATTTTTTCCATTATAAAAGTAACCATACTTATTGTGATTACTCTTATATGATTATTCAACAGAAACCATCAGTAGTTTCACTATTCAAAGATAATCACTATTTACATTTTGGGGAGTTTTTTTTAGTTTTTCTGTGCATAGTTATATATGTATATGTTTATTTTCTTAAAAATGGTTGAGATAATGCTTTGGATATTTGTATATAACATTCAATGATTATTTTATATATATTCTGTTTAATCTTATAATAATTTCTATTCATTTATTTATTCATTAAACAAACATGTCAGACACCATGTTAGTTGCTGGTGTTACAGTGGTAAGTAATATAGACATTGCAGGCACTCAACAAACATTTACTGAGTGGAGAATTTTTTTTTTTAGTTGAAGTCTCACTGTCACCCAGGCTGGAGTGCAGTGGCATGCTCATAGCACTGCAGTCTCAACCTGCTGGACTCGGGTGATCTTTCTTCCTCAGCCTTCCAGGTAGCTGGAACCACAGGCATGTGCTGCCATGCCAGCTGATTTTTTGATTTATTGTAGAGACGAAGTCTTGCCATGTTGCCCAGGCTGGTCTTGAACCTCTGAGCTCAGGCAATCCCCTTGCCTCAGCCTCCCAAAGTGCTGGGATTACAGGCGTGAGACACTGCGCCCGGCTCTGAGTGGAGAATTTAATGGAGATTATAGTTTACTGATAGATATATCCTGTGTCTTCAGTCATCATCAATTGTGGCATCCTGAGTTGTTTCTTGACCTGTTGCAGATACTTCTGTGATGAATGTGTATGCAGATAACTTCTTATGTATGTGCAAGTATTTCCTTCAGAGAGATTTCCAGAAGTAGAATTAATGGGTTAAAGGGCATAGCCATTTTTCAAGACTCTTGATGTGTATTGCTAAATTGATTTCCAAAGGAGCTGGAACAATTTACACTCCTGAATAATGCCCATTTGATTGAAGCCTGGCCACTGTTGGGGACTGACAATTAACAAAAAGCCCTTGACCTCAATTGCTTGGACTAGAGGATGTCTCATATCCTGACTTCAGGCTCCACCAAACACTGTGGGCACTGCCTTTCTAAGGCCAGGCTGACTGTCCCTCTGTGAAATTTTCTGTGGCTCCACATGGCCTTTCGAATTTCAGGACCATTTAACTTACTATCCAAACAGGGATACTTGAGTGTACTGGTAATCATCATACTGCGATCCCACCCTGGGAAACTGGAACATGAGGTCTTCCTATGACAGGTAAATCCAGTCCCTTTAACATAGCTTGAATTCAACACTGCCATTTGCCCCCAACTTACCATTCCAGTCTCTTTGCATCCTGATCATATCACATCTTCCAATCACAGGAGCTTGCAGTTACCCAGCATGCCTTAGGCATCACTATTCTGTACAATTATTCCCATTATTTCCTCCTCTGCCTCCATACACTCCATCCCCTATCAGTCTGTAATGCCTCCCTCACCCATCTGTGTAGGTATAAATCCTACCCTTGTTTCAAAACACAAATCAAATGGTACAGCATTAATTCAACAAATATTCACTGGCTGCTTATTTTGAATCAGGCACATAGTGAATAAGACCTCTCAGGGGCTTTATTTCATGTTTGCAATTGTGGTAACTTGTCTGAAGGATGAACGCAGGGTGATGTGCCCGAGACTTTGTCCTGTTATGGTTTTATGTACACATACCAACCACACCACATGACTGTGAACTCCTAAGGGCAAAGCCATGAGGCCTGTCTTCCACCCCCCACTGAAGCTCTCACCTGCCCTTGGATAGAGCAGGCACTCAACAAACATTTGCTGAGTAGAGAATAATAAAAAAGCTTATGCATTTGGACTGAAGAGAGCTTTCTATCAACTAGTTCTGGATTCTTCATGAATCTGAGATCAGAGGGGAACCTGAATTTCTTTTCTTTTTTAGAATTTTTAATTTTATTTTAAAGATGTGGGGTAGACTGGGTGCGGTGGCTCAAGCCTATAATCCCAGCACTTTGGGAAGCTAAGGCAAGAGGATTGCTGAGCCCAAGGGTTCGAGACCAACCTGGACAACATGGTGAGACCTTGTCTCTACAATAAATCAAAAAATTAGCTGGGCATGGTAACACGTGCCTGTATTTCTGGTTACTTGGAAGGCTGAGATGGAAGGATTGCCTGAGTCCAGCAGGTTGAGGCAGTGGTGGCAAAGAGTGCCATTGCATTCCAGCCTGTGCAACAGAGTGAGATTCCAACTCAAAAATAAATAAATAAAAAAAAGATGTGGGTTAGGCATACAGATGTTCATTATGCAGCTACCCTTGTGG